AAAAAAAAAAAAAAAAAAAAAAAAAAAAAACTACTACAAGGCATATAATTGTTGAGATTCTAGAAACCTAAAAGAAGAGCAAAATCTTATAAGCACTTATACAAAAAAGAAATCACATACACAGGAAAACCCTTCAGAATCACACCAGACTTCTCAACAGAAACACTTAAGGCAAGAACAACTTGGAGTGACATATTTCAAGCTGTAAAGAAACACAGTCTCCAATCCAGACTGATGTACCCTGAAAAACTATCTTTCAAAATTGATAGAGAAATAAGTTTTTCATGACAAGGAGCACCTAAAAAACTTCATGAATACCAACACAGCACTGCAAAAAATTTTAAACACTATCCTATGAAAAGACAATGAGAATCACAAACACAAGAAGTTCACCAGAATGAACCCATCAGACATGACAAGCAATTAAATAAAAAGGTGGAGAATCCAACAAAAAGAAAAAATCATGACAGGGATAAGTCAATACATATTAGTTATAACCATCAATGTTAATGATCAAAATTCACCAGTGAAATGAAATAGACTGGCAGAATATGTCAAAAAACAAGATCCAACAATATGCTGGATACAAGAAACACATTTAGTTCAAAAAGAATCTCATAGACTGAAATTTAAAAGGTAGAAAACAGTATTCCACTTGACATAAACCTGAAAATAAGGAGGAGTAACTATTATCTTTGCAGATCAAAGGGATTTCAGACCAATATCAATTAAGAGGCACAAAGAAGGACACTGCATCCCTGTAAAGAAAAAAAATCAAAGTTGAAGAGAGGACAATCATAAATATATATGTACCAGATACTAGTGTACCCAACTATATAAAACAAATACTAACGGACATGAAATATCAAATGAGCATTAATACAATAGTATTAGTATTAGTAGGGGATCTCAATACCCCACTATCACAAACAGAGCAACTTTTCAGAAAATAAAGAAGAAAATACTAGAACTCAATCAAAGCCTTGAAAAAATGTTTTCAAGAGATTTTTACAGAGTGCTTCACCCCACTAAATCAGAATACACATTCTTCAGCTGCACACATTTGGTCATTCTCCCAAACAGACCAGATCGCATTCCCCATAAGGCCCACAATGAACCTAACCATTGGATTTGATTTCTTTCTCATCCTACTGCATCAGTCCCCAGAATCATGGAAAGAACCCAGTTCCTGAACCAAGGTGTCGCTGTCCTCATAAGTCCTCAAGGACAGCATGAGCAGGACGAGAGCTGGCAGAATGAGCAGCTTCTCTTTCTGCTGTGAATCTGAACTCTGCATGATGAGAGGTTCAGGACCCGACTGGCATTTGTGGTTGCGCAAAAACATGAATCTGCTAAATGGAATTGAATAGCACCAGCACACATAATTGAACCATAAATTCTGTTTAAAGAATATTTTCTGATAAAAATTAGAAAAGTAAACTTAGAGCAGTGGGCTCCCTCTGAATAGAAGCTTCCCATTCATTCAGTTATTAGCGGTTATGAGATAGATTTTGAAGAACATTTCCTGTGTTACCTGCGCTGGAAATGTAGTGTTGGATCTTTGCCACACAGCATCTTGGTAAAGTGACAGGCGCCTTACAACCCATGTTAACGTTCTGAGATAATAGCTATTACCATCATGAGAACAATTTCATAATGAACAGTACCTAAGGAGAATTAAATATTGATCCTCCAATGCCAGACCTGTTAAGAATCTCTTTCAGGGCGTTCCTGTTAAAGTTTTTCTATTGCGCTGTAGTGCAGTAATTTGCTCCCCAGGAAAATCAAAACTGGCAAACCCATGGAGACACACCCTAGCAACGCGGGATGAAGCAGGAATATTTACCCACAGGGTCCCACCAGACTGTGAGATGCAGGACCCTGGAGAGTCTGAGAGGCACAACGGGATCCCCAGGAAGGACCTGCCGTGCCCAGGAAGCACGGAGCACCCGCGGAGTCCTGCCTGCCCTGGCCCAGTCCCAGCCTACATCCTGAGTGGCCCCTGTGGTCCAGGTCCCCCAGGACTTTCCCAGGAGCCCTAGGGCCTTCAAGCACCAGGTCAGAAAGGCGGGACTCAGGCTCCGAGGTCAGTGCGGAGCCGGGTCTGAGGTGCGTGTGGGCTGTGGGGGCGCTGGGAGGCGGGAAGGTCTCTGCTCTGTGAGGCTGATCTGGCCCGCTGGGTGGTCTTGAGCTGAGGAGAGGACAGGGCTGGGATCTGGGTACATCTGTGTGCAGCTCCCAGGGAGTTCACACTCTGCAGGAGTTGCTTACAGTAACAAAATACAGGAGAAATAAGTTGTAATTTCAGAGAGGGTTTTTGCAAGAGAACTTGAGAAGGAATTTTTATTTTATTAAAATAGTTCAAAAGTCAAATGAATGGAAGATAATCAATGTTTCCTTTTTCTGTAAAAAATAGTGAGTGTGTGCCTTAAAATTATTGCAAAGTGTTTCTTTTCAAATGTGAAGGTGTTTAAATATCTAAAATGTAAAATAAGGTGCTATATACCTAAAATGTACCAATAAATTCAATAAAAAGAAAAAAAATAAAGTGCATTTGTGGAGAAGACAAATGTGGATCTTGATACCCAAAGTGAATCAATTGTGAAATTGATAAACCACACAAAGGGTAACAGAACCTAATTTATTTTTATTTTTTTATTTTTTATTCTTTGGTACCGGGGATTGAACTCAGGTCCTTGTGCTTGTGAGGTAGGTGGCAGAACCACTGAGTTAACTCCCTTGCCTGGCTGACAGTATCTAAAAGCCCTTTTACTTGATGTTTTAGTAGGGTTGTAGTATACTTTCAATGATTCTCTATTCTTGAAATTATGGTTAATTTAATATTTATGACAACAGATAAATTTTATGTGAAAAAGTTGCATTAACCTCAAATAATATTTCAAAATCTGAGATGATATTTGATATTAAATTATCCAAGATATGTACAGAAAAAATCATACCTGAAAGATAAATATGTACTTAGGGCATGTGTGTCGTGCCCCAACCTATGACAACCTGCCCGAGCACGGGAAGACTGGCCCCCATCCGAGCTTGGTTTGACACGGACATGTCAGTGTGACTTCTATTTGACAGGAGAGGGAATATTTTCATGCCAAAATATGAATATGAACATGAATATTTTCATGTGCAAAGAGATGTGGATTCCTTGTCGTGAGCCCTTTTGTCTTGTTGATAACCATATAAGCTGAAATAGTCCTGTATTTAATTTGATGATTTTAGCACCTGAGTACAGTGATCAGTGCAAGAATGGTGAATTTCAAAGTGAATTTGAGTAGATTTTGAGGGGCCTTGGCTGCAATCTCACACCCAGAGCGCTCTACACAGGACTTTAAGAACAAGCCCTGGGAGGGGAGGGGCTGCTGCCTGGGTGCAGTCACAGGAAGGGAGCCTGACTGGTCTCAGGACTCTGATAGAGGAAGCAGCATTTCAGAGTCCAAACCCTCAGGAACTGTGGAGCAGAGATTTTCTTGTCCCATGTCCTCTTGTATTTTGAGGATATTTTCAAATGTATTTACTTATTTTTGCAAACAAATGCAATAACATGGCAAGACCTGGAAGTAAATTTATCTTTTAGTTAGACACTATTGTAACTCAAATGAATCTCTTGATTACAAAAGTCTTTATGAAAATGTACAAAGCTGAGTAGCCAATGTTTTAGACTAAGGGGTTTTGAAAATGATTTATGCTTTTAAAGTTTACATATACTATGAGTAAAATTACTTTTCTCTGGGGGCAAGAGCTTATTTTATTTTAAAGAATAATGATTGAGAGTAGCTCAGAATTCCCCTGGGTCACGAGGGCCCAGCTCTCTCCCCACCTTGCCCACTGCTCAGCCTCGTGGGTCACCTCAGCTGTCAGGGAAACCACAGCAGCTCTGCATGGACCCCTCATGTGGAAGCAGACTCAGCCCACGGGCAGTGCCCTTAAAATTTGGTCCAACTCTGCCCAGGTTGTGTATGTGGGCAGCATGGATCTGTCCAGCCTGACCCAGGTCCGCAAGACGAGACCTGGTGCTTTGCTCCTCCTCAGGACACCAGGCCCAGACTTATTTCAGCGTGTGGTGATGTGGACCCAGCCTCCTGGGCTTCCTGGAGATAGAAGATTCAGGATACAGGAATACGAATACGAAAACACACATGTACACTGTGCTCTTCAAATCCTAAAAATGTTGTGTTCCTTGCTTTCACATCTTTTCAAATGACTCCAGATAAAAATACTTATGTAGCACAGACGTGATCAGAATATATCATATATTAAAATAGCACAAGGAATTACATCAACTTTGTACTTTACTAGAAACGTTATGGCCACGCTGGAAGAGAGGTGAAGGATCCAGCTCCAGGGCACAGTGGCCACAGCGTTTATGGGTAGAGTGGAGGATGGATGGGCTCCTGGGCGGTCGGACTGGATCTTACACTGCTGTAAGTTCTCGTCTATTGGCTCTTGACAGAGGTCTTGTACATGGACGTCAGATAAATGTATGGTCACACATTTGATGCAGGACCCAGAAGCCAGTGGGTTCCTTGACCTCCGGGGAGGGTGTCTCTCTGAAGGGTGATGGGGAAGGACGCTGTGGAAAGGTCCAGCTCTTCAGGACACCTGGGGGATCACGAAGAAACACAGGGAGGGGATTCTTGGGTGTTACTATTTGGTTGTGAGATTTATGTATCTGCAATTAGAGCTTTAAATTCCTTATTAAATGTCTGAAAATGCAAAATTAATTATCATTTTGTTATGCAAAAATAATTTTTAAAAAACCAGACCTCAGAAAGGAGGAAAACTCGTTGGAAGGGCTCATTACAACTATAGTAAAATCTGAATCCACTGTTTAGATAATTCCACTGATTTTTAGACATACACTATGCGGCAACACCTCCTAGTAATAACAAATACATTGTCTGATTTGAATAAAGCATTAAAAAAACATACCATTTTCATCAATTCATGGAATTATATATTATGTGCCCCCATGTTTGTCATTTTCAGATATATGCATGAAGTAAAATATGGAAATGATTTTTTGAAACAGTTTCTTCATAAAGAGATAACAATTGAATACATCAGAATGAATGAAATAATGGATTGAAGTAATGTCTTATTTTTATGTGCCACATCATTGCAGGAAATCTCAGGAAAAGATAAACAAATGCCAAATGGAAAATCACAATGAGACCTTCACCGACTTCATCCTCCTGGGCCTGTTCCCCCCATCCAGCCTGGGCCTTTTCCTCTTCACTCTCACTGTCCCTACCTTCCTGATGGCCCTGACTGGCAACCTGTCCATGGTCCTGCTCATCCTCCTGGACGCCCAGCTCCACACACCCATGTACTTCCTGCTCAGTCAGCTCTCCCTCATGGACCTCATTTACATCTGCACCACTGTGCCCAAGATGGCTTCCGGTTTCCTGTTTGGGAACAAGTCCATCTCCTTCATTGGGTGTGGGGTTCAGTGCTTCTTCTTTCTGACTTTAGGAGCTTCAGAAGCACTGCTCCTCATGTCTATGTCCTATGACCGTTACGTGGCTATTTGCTTCCCTCTGCACTACCCCATCCACATGAACAGAAGAGTGTGTGTGCTGAATGCACCACTGCCCAAGATGGCTTCCGGTTTCCTGTTTGGGAACAAGTCCATCTCCTTCATTGGGTGTGGGGTTCAGTGCTTCTTCTTTCTGACTTTAGGAGCTTCAGAAGCACTGCTCCTCATGTCTATGTCCTATGACCCCGTTACCTATGGGAAGGTTCTCCTGGCTGTCTATCACATGCACTCACGGGAAGGCAGGAAGAAGGCCTATTCCACCTGCAGTGCACACCTCACCGTGGTGACCTTCTACTATGCACCTTTTGCTTACACTTACCTACGTCCCCAGTCCCTTCATTCTCCAGTGGAAGACAAGGTTCTGGCCGTCTTCTACACCATCCTCACCCCAGCACTCAACCCCCTGATCTACAGCCTGAGGAACAAGGAGGTGCTGGGGGCCCTGCGGAGAGTGACTCAAAGCATCTGCTCTGTGAAAATGTAGGCAAATTTCTGTCTTTGGATGTTGGGGAATGGATAGCCTCTAGCACAGTGCTTAATACTGAGGCCTCAGAAACTAGACTTGATACGTAACGTTTAAAATATTCAAGATGAGATTTAATAATTACATATGCTACTATATAATTTTTATTTTTCTTTGTTACTTCTTTCCAATAATAATAGTGGACCTAAATTTTTGATAAATGTAAGGACAACATTTCAGTAACAGGAAAAATAAGAATGGAAAATGCAGAATGGTTTGCCATCTTTCAGAGTATGAGATGCACTGAAAAGGTGATAAAGTTTCTTGCCTATTTGAATTTATAGAAATTACAGGAAAATCTACATTGCCATGAATCCCTTTAAAATCCTCCTCTTCATTGAGGCACACTTTTCGAACTGTCCTTGCCATTTTCTTATGTGTTTCCGGTAGTCGTCTTCGTTGAGTTTCTTTAATTATGCTACTGTGGCTGCTCTGATGTCCTAAATTCATTCAAAATATTTACTTCATGGTCCCTTTGACTTCAGGGTAAAGCTAAAGTCCCACTGGTGAAGTACTCATGAATAGCGTAGGTGCAAATGCTATCGTGTCTTCAGGAGCCTGCCTTTCCCTTTGATGGCAGTTTGCAGCCTTGTGCTGGATCTTCTTTCATTAAGACGGTCACGGGGGACTTTCTGAAATGCTGCAGGGGGGCAAGAAGGACAACAGTGTGTTCAGTGGGAGGAAAACTGTTCTGCAGGGGATTAATGGCCATGTGCCCTTTACTGTAGTCATAGTTTGAAGATGTAAGTATTTGTTGTAAACTGAGATCATCACGTATATTGATATGTTGATTCTAAGATGTTTTTTATTTCTTAAGCTTGGTAAACTAGCACACAAAGTACAACAAATATTTGTAATGGCTAGGTCTAATTGCAAACAAAAATTAGTTTGTAATAATTCACCCGTAAATCATACTGCACAGTTTCTAAATTGTTGCGGACCAGCCACGGTATCTATAGATTGGTAAGGGGCCAGGCTCCAGGCCTCTCAGTATCAAGGTCCATGTTAACTGGCCTCAGAAACAGAGAAGTATGAAAAAGTCTACAGACTGTCTGACTGTCTGAGAAAGCCAGAATCTTAGCACTCTCAACACCAGATAACTTCTCCTGGAGACAATAAAAAAAAAAAATGCATGCATCCAGGTAATGGGAAGGACCTTAACTCATTCTCTTTGAATTACTTCTTTGTCTTTTGGCTAAGATTAAGTGCCATGACTTTTCTCTTTAAGATGTTAAACTCATTCCCTCTCTTGCTACCCTAATCTTAGTGCAGTCGCTCTTCCTAGAATAGTATACCATCCCTTCCCCTGCTCCTCCAGCACAATAATAAAAATGGGTCCAGGGTGGAGTTTGTTCAAGCTTGTCTACTACAGACAGATTCTTCCTGGTCCCCCTTGCATGTCGAATATTGTTCCTCTTTCTTTTATTCCCCCTCACCCTTCCTACAGGTATTTGGGGGTCTGATAAGCTCCCAACATGAAATGCTGTACTTCAATTATACATTTAATCTCACAGCACAGTCTTCAGGCATGGAGAAATGTTGCTGTCTTTTCCCTAATGTTCAGGGTAACTTACAATAGAGATTACTAAATGATTTGGCTCAGGGTGATGCAGGAAACTTCTTTTTTCCAAGATGTAGACTGCACTGTAGTGATGTACTCCAGGTGTGCCTACAACATGATGTTGGTGTCTGAAAAGCTTATTTTTTAACTTTTACTCTGACTGACTGCGAGTTCATTTGTGTTCAGAAGTAAATATTTCTACTAAATTTGTCCCTCTCTGAGGACAGATAGAAAGTAGAATGTGAGTGGGGAAAGGCTTTGTTTATCCTATGACCGTGATGATGACTGTGTGACTCTCTAGAGGAAAGTGATGACCCAGACCGGCAGATCTGCACATGAACCGGTGACATGAACAGGCAATGGCTTTAGTGTTTGCTTGGGTGCTAATTAAAACGTTGCATTACACAAAGGCAGGAATGGGACTTGTTTTTCTTAATTCTTCTGAGGTATAAATTTCTGGTCAGAAGAATTTTATGCTAATACCATAAAACTAGAGGAAAGGCCAGAAATTTCTTTTTGTTGGAAATTATACATTACCTTACCCAGGAGACCCTTGAATTAGGGGGAAAACAAAAACTAGGCAGTTGCTGCTCAGAACTATTAAGTACTTCCTAAGCATGTAGTACATTGCAGAGGCCAGATGAAGAAATCACAAGTAAACCTAAGGCAGGGGTCCTTTCATTGCAAACCATGGAATCACTCCTTAATTTTTCCCATTCTGGACTCATTATCAATTTCTGTAGTCACTCACTGCCTTCTTCCAGCATTTCTTCCTCCCTTTCACACAACTTTTTCTATAAATGTGTCTGTAGAATTTGGTATCTCGTCTTAGCCAGTAGAATTTTTCAGTGAAAACTGAGAACCCTGTACTCCAATGTTTCAAAATCTTTATGAGTAGGTGTTTCCAGTATGCAATCATAACTTTCACTGTGGGGTATTGGTACAGCGACATAACACAGCTTAACTCCTTCTATGTCGTCGCCCCGCTCCACCCTCCCCCTGTTACCAGACACTGAGACGCTAAGCTCAGGCCTGTTTGTTGGCCTCTGACTGAATGAAAGGTGGGTACTTGTTTTAGTAAAAAGATAAAAGGATTAATTCAAAACTGGCCCCAAGGAGATGAAGAGGCTCATTTGCCTCAAAACCCCATCTCCTGTGAGCTGGTGGGTGAGGTCTTGTGTAGGAAGGAACAGAGCAGAGGTGAGCACAAAGAGATGATGCACATCTGTATGCCTGCTTCAGCACTGTCAGGTTTCTGCAGCTCACTGACGCCTTTCTTGTGGAAAGGAAATGGCATCATCCTTTTGGGACTGGCGTCTACACATTCTGTCTCTGAGGTGAGGAGGGGTGATGGTTATGTGTAAAGCAGGAAAAACTTTGGGAAGCTGCTCTTCCAAAAAAAGAATTTCCCCTGGACTTCTTACTTGAGTTCACTCCAATTTAAACAGAGAAATGAATCCTACAAAATAGTTTCAAGGCCTGAATAGTCCATCACTGATGGAGGAGAATTGCGGCTCTCTGGGGGGACCCCGTCCCGCGGGGAATAGGAGGTGAGAGCCGCCTCTTATTCGTGGGTCATCAGAGGCCGATCCGATCTTGAATGTCTGTGGAGGAAATCTTTAAGAAGTTAGAGTACACGGCCCAAGTCTGGTTTCTGATCAAAGGCGCTTTATTGGCTCAGCAAAACGATTATATACTGTTATCCCAGGGGGAAGGTTCAGCAAGCTTATTGGACAGTTCAAGCAAATCCTCTACCAATCACATGAGTCACTCAAGCATTTAACCATAAAGGGACAAAGCATTTATCAGCATACAGCAATCAGTATTTTACCAAATGTGGGGAGGGGTAAGTGGGAAGGCGTACATCAATAGTTAACCCTATGCGATCTTTAACTTCACAATCTCTAGGGGCAAGCAGGACAAGGAAATACCACCGGCCTCCTGCTCCAGATCCCGTGACCCTGTGGTTAGCACAAAGGGCTATTCTTTCTGTAAGATTTCCTGTTTGCCCAGGGGCTAGACCTGCCAAAAGTCACGTATGTAGTCTAGTGGGATTTTTCCACCGAGGCAAAGGCTAAGGTTGAGGGCAGCCATCTTATGCAGGCCCAAGCAGTCTCTCACAGAGAATCAAGTCTGAAGTCTGCTGCCCTGGGCAATTTCCAGTATACACTTGAGAAGATTCATGAAAGGAACAGTTCTTCTACTTCTGGGTGTGATCTGAGTATGAGGTAGCATCCCTAGATGACTGCTGTACATTGTGTTCGTTGTTAACATGACTCTTTGCATGGCCCTATCTCAAGGTGAGGTCAGAGGCAGGACCATACAGCACAGCCTGCACAGTGTCTTCCTCACCTACTCATGGTGAAGGATAGGGGAGCTGTAAGAGGTGTGCTTTAGGGATCATGGTTGGAGAAATAAACATGAGAGATGGAGCACAGTGAGAAGCGATTTGAACAAAGTTCTCCAGTGAACGAGGAAATAAGCCTGTGCTTTCACAGTCACTCAACAATACAGTGAAGACAGAGAGGCGTGAGGAGATTCTGTCACAAACAGGTGTCACACACGAGTGGGTGTGTGCTGGTCTCTCTAGGCCTCCTGTGGACTGTGGCCACTGCTGGACTGGGGCAGCTTTTCATTTCAGGAAGGGGCACTGTGCAGGGAAACCTCTCTCCATCTTTGTCCTCTCAAACACCCTACATCATTCAGGCACGGGGGCCTCTTGTGGAGGAAGAGTTCTCACTGTTCTCAAAGACCAGCGGAATCTGGTGCTGATCATATTATCACAGCAACACAAGCTTATTTCTCTTTTCCCAATTATTTAACAGCCTCACATTCAGATGGAAAAAAAGATAAATGCTAGCCAAGCATGGCACCACGTGCTTCTATTCCACCTTTGGAAACTGAGGCCTGAAGACAAGTTCACACTAAGCTAAGCAATGCAGGCAGACTTTATCTCAACATAAAATTTAAAAAGGGCCAGAGACCTACCACAGGGGTAGAGCAATAGTCCAGCATGTAAAGTCAGAAACACGACGTGATGCCACATATTGGTGGGCACAAAGTAAAGTGCATTGCAGGGAAGCAGTCAGGAGCACAGTGACTGCCCGGGTCCTGAAGGAGGAAATGGGGAGGAGTGAGTCGCATGCTGCAACGTGCAGTTAGGTCGATACACGAATCCGCATGTGGAGTACACACTCACAAATCGTATGTAATAATAAAATGTTTACAGGTGGATTTTCATTGCCCAAGTTGCATAGGAAGAGATGGTAACTATGGAAGATGCATAGGGGAATTTCCTTACTATCTTAATCAAATCCTTTTGTGTATCAAAGCAACTCAGTCTACACCTTAAATCTACTCAACAAATTAATGAATAAATAAACCTATGGTAGCTTGAGAT